AGCGCAACCTGTCTGCGACGGCTGAGAGTCTGCCGACAAGGTCCCTCCGCACGCCGAGGCGGCGCAACCTCGCGAACCCAAGACAGTGCGGCGCAAGCTGCTGGAGACTCACCGAGAGCAGCAGCGGACCCGAAAGACAGTGTGGCCTGACTTCCACCCGAGGCGGCACCGGCGTCTTCGTCGCACCAGGCTTCGTCGTGGTCGTCGTGTGGTTCGTCAACGACTTCCATCGGAGAAGATGTGCTGTCGTCCAATGGCTCGGGAGCAGCGACAGCTGGTTCATGGCTCTGAAATTTGCCTTTGAACCTGCCTCGCTTTGGTGGTCTGCCACGTTTCTTCTTCGTGTCCATGACTGCTGCGGGTGCTGAGTGCCGCAGTAGGGCGTATGGGCGAGGGCACACCCTCGCACAAGCGCTATGTGTGCGTGCGTGTGTGCGTGAGTGGCAGGAACAAATCGCCGCCCATCGGCAAAACAAAATGCCGAATATCTCGCGACCCAGATTTTTTTCGGAAAATCGGAAAAAAATTCCATCTGGGGAATTTCGAGAGGAATCGATTGCCGTGGTCTTTTTGAAGCTCTATGGTTGAATGTCGGAGGGAAAAAGTGAACAAAATGGTCTCTCTAGTCCAGTTTTTCGGCGATAACTTCGTCAATTTTTGCTGAAATCGAAATCGGAAAAAAATTCCACCTGAGAAATCGCGAGAGCTGTCGAAATCCGGTCTCATAATTGTGGTCTGACAAAAGCCCACCCCAGAAAAAAGTGAAGAAGATTTTCCGGTTATTTGCAAATAAATCGACAACAAGAAAAAAAAAAAACTTTCCAGAGGGACCTGAACCTAAAAACAGGGTGTTTGCCGTTACTTTCGGTTTTGCGAACAACCACCTGGGTGCAGAGAAACAATTCATAANAGAAATCGCGAGAGCTGTCGAAATCCGGTCTCATAATTGTGGTCTGACAAAAGCCCACCCCAGGAAAAAGTGAACAAGATTTTCCGGTTATTTGCAAATAAATCGACAA